TGACGGATTAGATGCGATTGGCTGGTTCTCAACAGATGCAGCTGAATTAACAGGTTTCTTAAACTGAACCAGGATCATTGTCATGTTGTCACATCCCTTGTTGAATTGTAATCTTGTCTTGGCCCAAAGATAATGGATCTAGCCCATGCTCAAAGAAAGATCCATGCACATGCTAGAGAATTCTAGCAAAGTTCAAGTTGGTGGAAGAGTCTAGAAGAATGGTGAGGATTCCACCAACATACAAGATTAGTGTAGATAATTCTAGCATAGGATGGTAGTGGAATTGTCTAGATATATCTAGCATGATGTTTCCATGCTTCTCCAAGGTTCCATCCATGCCTATAAAAGGAGAAGGCATCCATACCATTTGAAACAACCAAGAGAGCAAGTAGTGAGAAGTGAGAAGAAGCAACAAAGCTTCTAAGGCCGTGTTTGGTACATCGGATAGGACAACGGATAGGACTAATAATACGGAATACAGTGTTTGGTGTCCGTTCGTATTAGATAGTCACCGGATTAAATAATCCGGGCCCACCTACTTAATACGCTTGATACCCGACTGCTTATACCGTCCAAAACCTTGGTACAATTTAGTCGGAGCGCCTCTCGCTGTCTCATTCCTCTCCAGACGCACTGTCCAGACGCAGTGTCCTCTCGCGCTCGGTCGTGGTCCTCTCCAGACGCTATCCTCTCGCGCTTGATCTCTAGGCTGAAGTCCAGGTTCGTCTTTGTCTTCTTTTTCGTTTGAATCCCACCAGTTTTCTTCTTCTTCCCAGGTTGCGCCCGTCTCTCTGTTCTTCCCCCTTCTTCCATTTTTCTTGCACTTTTCTTTCAATTGATGAATCTAGTTATTGTTTTCTCTGTAATTATGCAATTGATTATGTAATTTTGTGTTTTAATTACAAATTTCGAATTTTAGGGTTTGTTGTTGGGGTCGAATTGTAGATTTGCCGGACCCTCTCTCTGCCTCTCGCGCTTGCTCTCTCGGCTGAAGTCCAGGTTCGTCTTCTTAACATGAAGCTCCCAAGCTATTCAAGCAAGGTTTCTTCGAATTTTCCATCTTTTTATAGCAGATCATACAGCAATCTCGGGGTATTTGTAGCTACACCCCTGAATATATTCTATATTTTGGCGGTTTTCAGTTGGATTTTCTTGAACATTATTGTCATTGTTTGCAAAACATCAAATTTTCTTAACTTGAAGCTCTCAAGCTATTCAAGCAAGGTTTCTTCCAATTTTCCAAATCCCATCGTCCATAATCATCATATAAGTTAGTATCTACGTAGTCTCTCATGCCGTGAATTGCAAAACATCCAAGATATTCAAACATGACCAAGATTACCAGTTTCCCTGTCTCTTCTATCTTCTTCTTCTTGTTATTCTTTAGGATTTTCTTAGCCATGGCACAAAACACAACGATCGCAGTGAATGTGGGGGTCATCCTTGACTTTGATTCCTTGTTTGGGAAGGTGGGGATGAGCTGCATTGACATGGCCCTCTCAGACTTCTATGCTTCTCATACAATTGTTTGATTTGAATAAAAGGAAAGAAAAATGGAAATAACTCTACCTTGGTCCCATACACTTGCATTTGGCTAAATGGGTTTTTGTTTCTTATGACTATGTTCTACTTTCTTTTGCTTATTTTCTGAGCAACCAAACAGAGCATTTTGGTTTTGTGGCTGACCCAATTTCCTAGATTTTCTATCATCTGGAAATTTCATTGGTAGCATCTCTTGGTATCATATGGGATCTCAGTTTAATTTGATTTGGGCTAAATGGTTGGCAGATCAAGTTATGATATTTCACTAGTTTTGCTAAACATAGACAGTTAGACTGCTGAATTTTGCTTTTCCCACTTTAATTAAGCTTTTATTTGGATAAAAAAAACTGGTTGGGTTTTTATTCCACCCTGCCCCAGAAAAAAAAAGGTAGAGTTATGACCAAGTGATAATTTAGATGGACATATAGTTTAGTTTTGGGGCTAAATAGATATAAGCCCATTTCATTATCCACAATTCTCTTTCAATTTTATTCCCAAAAGTAAAACCAAGCAAAAGTCACTGATAAGTGCATAGAAGTGGGAAAAAAAAAAAGTCATAGTATAAGGAAACAAACCTTGGAGGCCTTATCACGAAGCTAAGTTTGATCCGCCTTGATGTAGGATTGGAATTGATAACTCTACATTGGCCAATACCCATGTATGCTTGTATCTTTTTTGTATCCTACTACTGCAGATGAGTGTGATGATGTGCTAATGGTTTTTATCACTTACTATTAATTATATGCACAATTGATTATATGCTATCTTATTCTGTATGTAATTATAGGAAAGGAAGATGAACAAAGTAGTCAACCAAAAGAAAGTAGAAGGGTTTGGAAACAATATGAAGAAGATGCATTGCTGTCCATACTTGAGGAGGCAGTTGTTAAGAATTTGCGATGTGATAATGGTTGTTTCGAACCCGGAACAATGGCTCAGTTTAAACTTGGAGCTCCCAAGCTATTCAAGCATTTGTATATTGTATGAACTTGGATATGTGGTTGGATTAATCTATATGATGTAACGACTCTAGTTTTTTGTGAACCTTCTTTTATGTTATTGGAAAATATTTTGAATTTGATGTATGGAATTTACTATTTTTCTTTGTTATTTGAAAATTTGTGTGGTTTTCAATAGATATAAATATGAGAAAAGTTCAACAAACAAAGAAAGTTTCATCAATTTTTTTTTCCCTTGTCCTATCCGGTTCATTACCAAACATAGTATAAATAATACGGTCATTTGTCCGATACTGCACCAAACGCCCGGCTAATTTAGTCAGTACTATCCGGTGGTTATTTATCCTATCCGACAGAAATAGTCAGTACAGTCCGAGCTGCCAAACGAGGCCTAAGAGTATTTGAGTGTTTCCTCTTGTACTAATTTGTGAGTGAATAAAAAATCTTGTGTAAAAACTTTGAGTGTTCTTTCTTTCTCTTACCTATCAATTTCGCTGCATTACATTCTTCTTTGTGAGATAAACATCTCCAAAGTAGTGAAGTCTTTTTAAGCCCCAACATCCCTCTCCACCAGATGATGGTGCCAAGCACCTTTCAAACACTCTCTCACAAACCACTGACAGTTTACTTTCCTGCATTATCATACGAATATGATATGTCACTCAAATGGTATATATTTGGAAATCGCAGTGAGGTTCGTCAACTTACATGTTTTAATTGTTCCCGAACATAGTCCACAAGTTGTTGACTTGACATGCAGTCCCTGGAGAGAGCTTGCATCAGCGTTTCAACAAAGTAGCAGAATGTAAAGTCAACGTGTGCATGTTATTATGTTAATGTATCAACAAGAAGTTATATTTCTGATAGGAAAGTTTATTACAAAGGAAACTTTACCATATCCCATCACAGGCTATGACCAGAAACTCATCATCATCACAAAGCTCAACCTACATGAAAGGTAAATTTTGAATTAAAAACATAAATTAGTGAAACTTTCTTCCTTTAAAACTTTGGAAGTGTGACTAGCATCTAGATTATATAACTTGGATCACAGAAAAAACTTTTCCTCGAAAAAAAATAACACGTTGTTTTGTTTATAAGATTGGTTGTAAGTATATACGGTTCAAGTTTCTCATCCCAATTTCACATCATTTAGTTCTGAAATGAAATGCTGCATACGCTAGTTATGTCGGGATTGGCAGTCACAATCTGCATTTTAACGGGCAACTGTTTGTTCTGCTTGAGTTCCGCATCCCCTGCAAGCAACAACATTTAAATACATGAAATTCGAATGAAAAAAAGGGTTATTTCCCAGTTTCTCCTTTCAAAGGGTAAGGAAATTTTTCGTACCAATCGCTCTCGCCAAGTTCAAACTTCCATTGACCCTTCCAACTTGGATAAATCCACCAGCCTTGAGAATTCTTTCTTTCTCATTCTCCATGTCACGTTTATGATCTTTAGACAAATTATATGCCTGCATTTAAAACTTTAATAAGGAGTCACAGACAAAGTCGGCAGTAAAGCAACACAATGGCAGAAACTCAATTCCTAAAAGCTTGAGTACAAAAGTTGGGGTCGGAGCAGTTTTTTTATACAAGCAACGATAGATTCATCTTTCATTAATCATCCCAAACAATACATAGGTAACATTTGGGTACAATACTTCAGTGACCAAGAAAATGATCTGGAGATGAATTTGCTTAAACAAGACAACAATAATAACCCCTAAATGGCTACCATATGTACGAAAAATAAACTGCATCATGAGCAGTTTGTTAAGTGAGTTTTACCCAAGTGAAAAGTGTGGCAGACGGGGATCATAACGATCCTTTTGATGATTTAATCTGACGTTGATATTAAACTTTAGGAAGCCCTTACCAACACCATTTATTTCAAATGGTATATTCATCATTTAATTAAAAAAAAAAACCAAAATGTACAGAAAATTAAGAGAAAATAAAAAGCATAAATTACCACGACACATTTAATTCAGTAACTAACGAATATATGCAGCAGATATTCGCTCCCTCTCTCTCTTCCTACTTTCAAAACCAAATCAAATGCATATTCTTCAATTTTATTTCTATTTTTATAAAAATCTTCCCACATTTAATTAGCCTTATATTTTCCACTTACAAATCTCCTGAAAACCCTCCTCTTTATCTTTTTTTTCATTTTTGAAAATCCTTAGGGTTTATGCTTTAACTCACCAAAATCCATTGCTCTACCTTCAAAAGGCTAGACTATTTCTTCTGTATCTTTCCCTGGCTTTCAATACAATCCTTCTCCTCTGTGGTAATTTTCCAATTTCTAGTCTGTTTTCTATTTTTAATTTTTTTCACCAAGATTTTGTACTTGATGATTTTTTTATGTATTTTTCTCAATGATTAATGATTGTGTTGTTTTCATCGCTGATATTCTTATGGGTTTTGGGTAATTCATGGTTTCTTGAAATCAAAACCCTCTAAGGATTTGATCTTGTTAATGTTGTAATGTGCTTCTAATGCTTTTGTAATTTAGTTTTCTGTATAATATTATTAGTAATTTTTGTTATTCATTTGGTTATAAAACATACATAAATTCTTGCAGTGCGAAGAAATGGCTAAGCAGAACACAGCAAAAGAAGATTTCTCCCTAAAGGAGACCTCGCCGAACATCACTGGCCGGAGGTTCTCCATGGGTCCCATGACCTCCTTTGATCTTGTCGAGCACATGCAGTATCTCTATGTCAGGATTGTGAAAGCCAGAGATTTGCCACCTACTGCCGACCCTTATGTTGAACTGAAGCTCGGAAACTACCGGGCAGTAACAACACCTTTCAAAAAAAATCCGAACCCCGAATGGAACCAAGTGTTCGCTTTTTCGAAAGACAGAATTCAAGCTGTTAGTATGGAGATTTTGGTGAAGGACAAGGCTGTTGTTGCAGAAGGTGGTGATCATGGAACCATTGGGATGTTTGGTTTTGCTATGGCTGAGTGTCCTAGTAGGGTTCCGCCGGATAGTCCGTTAGCGCCGCAATGGTACATGCTGGAGGATCAAAACAAGGCCAAGATTAGAGGAGACCTAATGCTTTCTTATTGGATTGGGACGCAAGCAGATGAGGCCTTTCCAGATGCTTGGCACGCTGATGTTGCATCGGTAAGTGGGGATGGACTTTCGAGTACTCGTTCGAAGGTTTACCTTTCACCTAGGCTTTGGTACATGAGAGTGAATGTGATTCAAGCTCAGGATCTTGTGTTAAAAGACAACAACAGAAAGCAAGCACCGGAGTTTTTTGTGAAGGCTCAGTTCGGGAATGTGGTTTTGAGAAGTGGAGTCTCGACGGATAAGAATTTCAACCCTACTTGGAATGAGGATCTAATGTTTGTTGTTGCAGAACCGTTCGATGATCCTTTGGTGATAAGTGTTCAGGAGAAAACGAATAACAAGGAGGAATCTGCCGGGCAGATTGTGATTCCTTTGAGGGATGTGGATAAGAGGATAGACGCTACTCCGGCTACTCCCAAGTGGTATAATCTTGGGACGGTTGAAGTAGTTGAGGGTGTGCCAAAGGAGGTGAAGTTTGCGAGTAAGATCCAAATAAGGGTGAGTTTGGATGGAGGATATCATGTTCTTGACGAGCCAGCTCACAGTACTAGTGATCTGAGGCCAACTGCAAAGCTTCTTTGGAGGCCTCCGATCGGGATTTTGGAATTGGGAATCTTGAATGCAACTGGTTTGTCACCAATGAAGCCTAAGAATCGTGTTGACGCATATTGTGTAGCAAAATATGGGACAAAGTGGGTGCGAGCAAGGACGGTTGTTGATTGTTTGTCTCCCAAGTGGAACGAACAATACACATGGGAAGTCTATGATCCATGCACTGTCATTACCATTGGAGTTTTTGACAATGGGAACTTGCAGGGTGGCGATAAGCTGGGCATGGATTTGAGTATTGGGAAGGTAAAGATCCGTCTATCTACCCTTGAAACTGGTAGGATTTACACGCATTCATATCCTCTTGTGGTTCTACAACCTACTGGGGTGAAAAAGATGGGTGAAATCCAACTGGCTCTGAGATTTTCGTGTCCGTCTTTGCCTAACATGCTGCTCACATACACACGGCCTCTGCTGCCTAAGATGCACTACATTATCCCACTGTCTATATACCAGCTTGCTAGTTTACGACACCAAGCTGCATTGATTCTCTGGTTGAGGTTGAGCCGGGCTGAGCCACCACTTAGGAGAGAGGTTGTGGATTACATGTTAGATTCCACTGCGCATCTGTGGAGTTTTCGAAGAGGCAAGGCCAATTTTGTCAGGATCATCAAGCTATTTGATGGTTTGGTCATGATGTTCAAAGGGTTTGATAAAATACGGAAATGGACTAACACCATTACCACGGTGCTTGTTCACGTTGCCTTCACGGTCATGCTTTTTTTTCCTGGTCCGACAATTTGCTTAATGTTTTTATTGCTGTTGCTGAAAGGGGTTTGGAATTACCGGAAGAGGCCTAGACAAATTGTGCACATAGACACAGAACTGTCACAAGCATATGGCGTACATCCAGAGGATTTGGACGAAGAGTTTGATACTTTTCCAACAAAAAAGACGGGCGATGTTCTGAAACGAAGATATGATCGTCTTCGAGGCATTGCAGGGAGGATTCAGGCAGTGTTGGGGGACATAGCGACACAAGGCGAAAGGGTGCAGTCTCTGCTGAGTTGGAGGGATCCAAGAGCCACAACTTTATTTATGATCTTCTGTATTATTGGTATGATCCTATTTTATGTCTTCTCGTTGAAGTTGATAGTTTGGCTTGCAGGATTTTATGCAATGAGACATCCAAAATGTCGGGATAGATTCCCTTCGCTCCTGCAAAACTTGATCAGGAGGTTGCCGGCAAGATCAGATAGCATGTTGTGAGGAGAGCTTTAATCTTTGGTATTTCGATCAGTCGAAGTTTATCTATGGACATTTGTTTTGTGTTTAGTTTCTTCTTCTTTCTCTTTTCTTTATAGAACAGTTGGCATATGTTGATCATGTTCTCTAATAAAGATGATTTGTATGCTATCAGAAACACTTCTAGCTATGTTCTGTAATGAAGCACTTCTTTTTTCTCTTTAGAAAACCTTGCCACGATGACTTACATAGTTCCAAGCACTTCTATAATTTGATAAAGACGATTTGAAAGTACCCTAAAATTTAGAAGGGACCGGACAAGAAATCTCAAACTCTTACACTATGTTTGGATGAGGGAAATAAACTTGGAATTTGGATAAAAGTCAGAATTTATAAATTGACATGCACCAATTCCCTTGTTTGGATTTATAACATAGAAATTTAGAATTTCCGCGTGGAAAAAAAAAACTTAGAATTTGGGGCCTCCAATTTCCAAGTTTAAATTTCATGTAAATAGGTGTCATTTCCCAATTTCTATGATTGGGAGTTTAAAATTAACAAATTCCGTTTTCAATTCTATTGTTCTTTTAAGTTAACCAAATAACAAAATTCACAAATTCTAGGAAATAAATCCCTTCATTTCAATTTCCGTCATTTTAAAATTCCTTAGTAATCTTAAATTTCTTCATCCAAACATGGTGTTATACAGCAAGAAAAAAAGATTCTCAGGTTTCGTGGATACCTTAAGGAGCAAACTAAAGGAAGAAGACTATAAGGTGATTTGAGAATGAGAGTGATTGGAGCTTAAGAAGATAAGGAAAAAGAGAAAACTTTACTCTAGTATTGCATATAAATAAATATTCCTTAACGTTATGGCACTACAGGTCTTGCATTGATCCAAACGAAAGTTGTAACGATAGGGATATCCGCAGACAGGGAACTGGCATAACTACGACAATATATTCCATAGGTAAAAAATTTCATTGAAACTGCAGCATACCTCACCCTTCCTGGATATTACGCAGCGAGAATCACCAGCATTGGCAACAACAAGTTGTTTGTTCCGGATAATAGCAACACAATCTGTACTTCCAGAATTTGGTCCATCAAAATCAGAATGAGGCCCCTGGCATCAAACCCCAATACTTTTCTTCGTGAAAATAGGGTTACATAGTAAAATTTTAAAATAATAAAGCACACCAATAAAATTTCAAATATATTTATCATAGTGTTGAGCTATATATTTTCATAAACAAAATATATTAGCAAATCTTAATAAAAATGGGGGGACTTTAAAATAATAATGATAGAGTCCAAAATATGGACCGACTAGAAATCAGGTTCACTTTATGTGTATTATGTACAATTTCTTATATATACTATATTTTATATATAAGAAATAAAGAGAGGAAAAAAAAAAACTCTACATCCGCACACGTGGACCTCAGCGTACACCAAGTCTGAAGGAGTTTGTCATCTACATGGCAACCAGGTAGAGGGAACGTGTGTATCTAGAACCCTCTAAAACTCCCACGTTTTCCACTCAAGAGATGGTTTTCTCTCAACTCAAGAGATGGTTTTCTCTCAGCATCTCCACATCCCAGGAAAGTTGCATCCCACTAACTTCAACTGCCATGTCCACTGTTCGCCTATAAAAAGGCATCAAACCAAAGCAAAGAGGACAGAAGACACAGAAAGAAGAAGAGAGACTCTGCAGAAATTGAGAGAAAAGATTGCAACGAATGAGAGATACAGAAACGCTGCAGAAATTGTGGGGCACAAAGAGAGAACAAACGGGAAGAGAAGAGGAACAGAAGAATACAGAGGAGGAGTGGACGACAAAAAGAAAAGGCAAGGACTCAAAAAGGTATAAAATCCATTTTATTTTATTTTTTGGGTTTATCTTTCCTTTGGATTTCGTTGTTATTTCTTCACTTTGTAGAAGAAAAAGCACTTTGCTTCTTTATCCTCTCCCATCCCACGAAACAAAGGTGGAACTCCAGAGAAGTCAAAGCCCAAACCCTTTCCCATATTTCGTCTACTATGCCTAGCAAATGATGTCGAGACTCGCCAACGACGCAAAAGATGAGTTCGAACAAGGCAGCAACCAAACCGCCGGACACCACCACTTCAACAACACCGATGGCCATAGTGATCACGCCGTCCTCAAGCCCAGTGTTGCTGTTGCTCCGTTTTAGGAGCGCAGTGTTGAAATCGTTTATGCTGCTCCGTTTTAGGAGCGCAGTTTGAAGTTTAAAATGATTGCTGCTGCTCTGTTTTAAAAGCTCAGTTCGAAGAAACTGGCGTACTGCTGTTGCTCTGTTTTAAGAGCTCAGTTCGAAAGAAAAACCGGCGTGTTGCTGCTGCTCCGTTTTAGGGGCGCAGTTTGAAAACATTGACGGTTGCTGCCGCCCCGTTTAGGAGCTCAGTTCACAGAATTTGGCGTTTGCTGCTGTTCCGTTTTAGGAGCTTAGTCCAAAATTGAAATGGTTGCTGCTGCTCCGTTTTAGGAGCTCATTACAAACTTCGAGTGAAGAGAAACACGACTCAAAGAATTTGACATGATGCTGCTGCTCCATTCTTCGAAGACGTTCCAGGAAGGAGAGGAACAAAAAAATAGTCTTGTTCATCACGTGGGAGTCTGCTCACATGAAAGAAAAGTAAGGTCGATTGAAATTAGAAGTCCCATTGGAACTTGGAGACCTTTAAAGACAAATAAAGAAAAGTGTGAAGCTTGCTGTCAGAAAACTTGGGTCAAATTGGTTCAGAGTCCCATGCTTAAATGAAGATGATATATATATATATATATAATGGATGCCAAAGGAACCTGCACCCCACGTGAAGAAGAAGAGTAAAGCTTTAAAGTCACATAGAAAAAAGGAGGAGTAAAGCTTGTTGCCAGGCTTGAAAATCCCAAGTGGGTTCAAAGATCCATGGGTTGAAAAATTCAAAAGAAAAGTACATAAAAAAAGGGCAAAAAACAAGAAGTTGGCTGTGAACAAAATTCTCAAATTAATTGAGAATGTTGCTTGCGTGGGACCTTCAAAGAAAAGGCACCAGACCAATTTATGTTGATCAACTTTTCCCAAACCATGTGGGATGAATCTCACCACACGAAAATTCTTAAAATGCCCATCACTAAATCAATCGGCATGATCACTTATTTGTACCCAATTACAAGCATACGAAAGGAAGGAAGGTGTAGGCAAAAATGGTATGGAAAATTAAAATCCCACCATGGAAAACGGCTCTATAAAAAGAGAGGTTCAATATGTTGATCCAAACTCACTTGTACAAGTTTTGATTGATTATTCATCAAGAATGTCCATCAAATTTTATTTAACGGCACAAAGCCGCTCCAAAATTCAAGTATACAAAAGGCATGAAGCCAAAGAAAAAGTCAAATATCAAATGGCATGAAGCCGCAACAGAATCTCAAATGGCACGAAGCCGTATCAAGTATCAAATGGCATAAAGCCGCGATGAGTCTCAACCATATGAACTACGCCGGTTTGATTCCGTTAAGGATACGTAGGCAGTCTGATATCAAATTATAGACGCAACCGTGAAATCAAGACGAATCCCTGGTTTATATAAACTAGATTCATTTTTGTTATTTTGACCAAGTAATTACAAATTCTACGAAGAGAAAGAGAAGCGAGCTGGTTCAAATTACGAATGACACAAAGCCACTTCAAAATTCAAATGGCATGAAGCCGCTTCAAAATTCAAATGGTATGAAGCCGCATCAAATCCCAAAAGGCATGAAGCTGAAGAAAAATCTCAAATGGCACAAAGCCGCGATGAGTCATGAAATCAAAATTACGAACTACACCGGTTTGATTCCGTTAAGGATACGTAGGCAGTCTAATATCAAGTTTTAGACGCAACCGTGAAACCGAAACGAATCCCTGGTTTATATAAACTAAATTCACTCCTGCTATCAAATACCAAAATGGCACAAAGCCAAAGAAAAGTCTCAAATGGCATGAAGCCATATTAAATTTTCAAATGCTCCTCGCCCGCATGAGCTGAAACTGCATAAGGCACTATGCTTCTCGCCCGCATGAGCTGAAACTGCATAAGGCACTATGCTCCTCGCCCGCATGAGCTAAAACTGCACAAGGCATCAAATCCAAATAAATACCAAATTCATGAACTACGAGTGACTTGATCCCTCAAGAGGGTACGTAGGCAATCTAGGGTTCAACCTATGTGCAGTCACAAAATCAAACAAACATCAAATTCCTCAAGTTACATTTTTATTCGAATTGGAATCAAAGGGTATTTCTTTCCCAAAAGAAAGATTGTAATTAATAGGCGTGTAGCCTAGAATGGGTCGAACTCGAATTAATAAAACCCTATTCGGAAAACTGAACGAGGGTGAAATTGTGTCGAGTGAATTATTTGTTTACATATTATGTACAATTTTTGCTCAACACATAGTATTAAGGCTAATTATCTCAAACTGTCAATGACAGATAGTTAAAGATGATTCACTCCCTCCCGCTGCCATATAGATTGTTTTTCACCTCAGCTTAAGTTTGATAAGTGGCAATCATGTTAAACTGAAGAAATTAGATGAAAATTTTCGTGAAGGACTTCAAAGCTTGCGAAAACATTGCCATGATGACTAGGAAGAATTTAGAATGACTAGGAAGAAATCTCAAACTCTTATAAAAGGAGGGAAAAAAAAAGATTCTCAGTTACTGTCTCCATTCTCATCTAAAACATTTGTCCATCTGGTGATATGGTTTCCAAAAGAAATGGAGAATATAGTACAATTGTTAATGCAGCTTAAGTAACCGCTGTGTAAAGAGTACCTCCTCAGAAGACCACTGACCAACATGGTCATTGAATGCACTACTCTTAGCTTCAACACTCTTCGGAGATAAAATGAACCTTTCTATAAGACCAGAAACTTTGTCTATCTTATCTCCCAGTACAGCTAATTCTCTCCAGCCTCTTTGTCCGCGCATCATCTCATCCATCCTGCCTCAGTTAAAAGCAATTTCAGATGACAAAGTATCTCGTAGATAATCATATCTATCCAAATTCTTTCTACCCCTCATTACAACTTTCTTCCACTTATTGTGTTCCATCATTACATGCCCTCAATTGTGGTTGCCATCTCTATTTTTGGGACTTTTAATATAATACATGAACACAAACATCCTATAA